TGCTCACAACTTGGATCCCACCATTAACAAAAAGCAATATTACTTTTCAGATGTTTTTAATTCAGTATTTTTTTCAATATTCTTCCAAAATTCAACCACTATATTTCCCTAAAAATCAAATAATACCGGTTTTATGTATTTCCGTATTAAACCTGTAGTCAATTCATGTTCCAGGGCCACTTGGTTTAGCCGTGCATTATCAGCCAATATACCATGGATTGCATATGCAAATTTTGTGTTTGGACCAATCAAATCAATGGATTAACACCATCAATATACTGGTATAATATAATACTATATAAACTATACTACCGTATTACCCCGGGCACGCGCCCAGGGGCCTGAACATACAAAATCGGGAAAAATTGGGGGTGGGCGCTTACCCGAGGACCACCCCAAAAAAGATTTTAAAAAGTTGTTTTTGTGATCGTATGATAAGGTCAAATAAAGGAATGTAACGTACACTTTGTACACGAACTTATTTCTTGATTTATGCGAGGTTTCAATAAACGTGAGCACTCGGTCAAGAACTGTGGGAACACTAAGACACAGGGTCGAATTTCAAAAATAAAACTTGTTTAATGTCAGCGAATGAAGTTGTATTACTCACTGAAATTGGCTACAAAGTATGGTAAGTATTGTAATCAATGCACAGTTACTTTTTTAGTACCGGTAACCGTGATCAGTGCAAGATGGCGATGACCCCATTAGCATAATTTTGTTCACGCATGTATTGATACATCGCATCGTAATTACTGAAGAATAGCAGACAGGGTTATGAAACAAATAAACCTTTTATTACTGATGTGAAATGTTTACAAACTATTGTGAATACATATAAACATATCCAAATGGCGATACATAAAAAACAGACTGAAAATAAACTCTGGTGGACCTCATTAACATGATTTATTCACGCACCCACACACGTGACAAAATTACAAAAATAACGATGATGCAACAAGTTCCCATCGTCGGCATGCCTCATTATGGTTATCGTAATGG